TTTAATGAACAGCATATCTCAAAGAACATTCAAACGAGAGATATAAACGAGATTGGAAAAAGTGGACTGATTATATACAAAGTAAATATGGGACTAAGAAACTCCAGATAGCTTATGCTTAACATCAGTAATAACTTAAACTGTTTAAAACTTGGGTAACAGTTTGTTTGTTTTTATTAATGCTGTTCATTAAAAACGGTATATTTTTAAAATTTGTGTTTCTATATTCCATAGTTCCATGGAGTAAAGATCCTGCTTTCTTTCCTTTCCTTCTTTTTGCCCTAGTTGTGGAATACATGCCACCCACCAGAAATGGTGCGGCCAACCCTGGAGAGGACATTAAAAATTCTACAGCTTGACTATGTTGATCTCTATATCATTGAACTACCGATGGCTTTTCAGGTAAAGTATTGTGCTTGAGCACCGCCTAGTGTATATGTTTGTGTACTGTAAGTACTTAAAGTCTCCTTGGACAAAATTCCACAAATGTATTTTTTAAAGTTTTTTTAATATATATATAAAAATGTCAAATCAATGCGTGAACAGTGTGGCACCTAGGTGCCATACATTCCAGTATGAACAAAGATTATCAGATTAAACATTATCATTACATTCAATCAACTTATAAAGTTCCCATAACAATACACATCTATATTAGATTACAATCTATCATTATTCAATTATTCCACCTATTTCTCATTACTACTTTCATTTTATCAAATGAAAATGAAATACATTAATATTCCCTTTGTTTCTATCTCTTACTCTAGCTTTTAATCATATCACCATACTTTAAATAGCTTTTTCTTTCTTTTAACTTCTAACTGCCTAAAAAAAGAGAAAAAGAATTGAGAGGGAGATACAGAAAAATACAGTTCAAAACAGCAGCCAAGAATAGGAATCATCCACAATTGTAGAAAATGAAGAGCTAAGTTAGCAAAAGTATAAACCTGGATGTGAGCTCATAGATTTATATTCACCGTCTCTGTCAAAAGACACATTATTCACAACTTAAATATCCCTATTGTGAAGCTGTTTGTATGATGACAGTATTCATCTATGAATGCATATTTATTGATTTCAATTTGCATATATGCAACAATTCGGGCAATAAAGAATCCACTCAAACGTGGATTCCAGAGCTAGATGAAGATGAACTTATATGAAGATGATGTAGATGTACTTATATGGAACTGTGGTATTCAAATATTTTGCACACACATTAGGGCTGTGCAAAACTTTTCAAAGAGGTTCTTTGAAATTCACTTGCTTTACTGGCATTACTGTTTTGATGAGAGGGGTTCTGTACAGAGGTGTATTTTACTGTTTTGGACTGGTTTAATACGATCGTTTTCAATTAGGCACCATGAAATGAGTTGGGTTTTAACTGTGATAAATAATGCCGACTGGAATTCCAATATATATGCAAAACACAAGATTGGCGATAACAGCCTAAATATAATAAAAATGTATTGGCACTTCCGATATCCTGGAATGGTCCTATGAATTTTCTTCCTACACTTTTCAACCTGTATAACTCTTTGCTACATCCATGTTTATTAATAAATTTATTTTCTGTCACATGTTTGCAGCATACCTAATACCATCAATTATAAAACTCTACCGAACTTGTAAATAGTATATTGTAACCTGGAAGATAGTTATGGCATTAATTATAATGTGACCTGTAAAATGCATCATAGGAGTACCACTAGTTCTTTTAATTCAATAAATTAAATTTTAACTACACCAATTTGGTGGGCTCAAGACACAAAACAAGCAACACAACATGGGTGCCTAGACAACACGAACTCACAAGCATTCACAAGTTATTATTACTAACTACTCATGACTGCTCTCACTACTCATTACACTCTTCCTCATTACTACTACTATTCCAGCTACTACTTCTTGTGAATACAACTATTCCTATTTTTTGGAAATACCGCTGGAGAAAACTTTCTTGTTCTAGATCTTTTACTTCCATATAGACACACACACACCTCTGTCAGTCTGTCAGTCTGTCAGTCAGACAGACTGACAGACACACAAACATACCAGCTCAGGTGTGTGTACATGCACAGTGCAATAAAAATTGCTCTGTGCATGCACAGAAGCAAAAATGAGATGGCGGTGCCTATGGCGCCATCCAGAGAACCAGTTCAGGGGCGTGGCGGGCCCGGGTCGCTGCCGGTTCCAGCGACCCAGGCCGCCAAACCACTACCGGTTCAGCCGAAGAACCGGTAGGAACCCATCATTGCACCAGTTGTATCTCAGCATAGCTTTTCTTACCAACCTTATTTTGCTGGCTGGGGAGAAGGCTTAAAGAGACAGGACAATGGGTATGCAACTTCATGTGAAGATATGACAGAATTAATATGTCTCTGCTCTGAGAACTTAAGGGAAGATGAACCATATATCATCTTCTAAAACCGAGTGAATGAAGCAAATAAGGCACAATTTGCACTCTTTTCAATTCAATAAATCTCATTGTTTGCATAGTTTTCTGCCACTATGCAAGTAATAGGATTTCCCCTCTATGAAGTACACAAATAGTATTTTTCCTACTATTCCTATGATTATTATGAATCACATTTGGAATATAGATGACTAACAAAGTATTGGCAGCTGCTTCTTTTTCCCCACTCCGACCCACAAAACTCCTTTGAGATTTCGTCAAAAAGAAGGATATGTGGATTATTCCAGAATTCTGTTTGGGCTCTTGTTTCCATTGGCTTCCTGCCTAAGGAGAGGGAGGGAGCCCAGCTGTACATTCCCAGCTTGATAAATCATGGTTTAGCAAGCTAAAGATCAATGTTCAGCTAATATTGTTCAATTTGCAGTAAAGTGAGAGTAATTCAGAATATCCATTTGTAAAGCTACCCATTCCCTGTTAATTATAATGGAGAGGAATTCCAGAGACAGCACCAGTCTTCATTCAGTTTCTTTCAAAGAGAAAGCGCTTGAGAGAGTCAACTAGGAATTGGCTGGTATTGGGATCTTGTTCCTTTTTCTCTAGTTAGAAAACATTCTGCTCCAATGTCTAGTTGCCTTTTGGCAAAACCACCAAAAGAAAAACATCCTAATCTCTCAAGATTAATATAAAGGAATTAGGTCAAGTTTAAGCAATCTAGTATCCTTTAGATGTTTAGGCGTCAACTCACACAATGAGAAATTGTAAGAGATATACCCGAAAACATCTGGAGCACATTGTTTACATGTGACCTGGCACATATTGGGTCTGTCACAGTGGGGGGATTCAAATTAGGGTCTCTGCACTAATGGCCTCCTGTGAGGCCCGTTGCCTGCCAAGGAGCCCAGCTGAAGCCTCGCTCGCTGCCCACTGAGGCGCCTGGACTCCTGGTGACAGAGGGCTCCTTCAGGCAGTTAGCTTGGCCGTCTGTAGCTGCAGCCCCTCACTCTGAGTGCCTTGTCAGAGCTGTCTTGGGGTTTTGCCTGCGCGGACATCACTTGCTTGGAAGGGACCGGGAGTGGTGGTTAGAGGAGTGCCAAGATGCCAAAATGGCCTCAGGAGAGGACAGCCAAGACGAGGAGTGAGTGCCTGGAGGGGGGGCAGAGTGAGGGGCCAGGCTAGCCAGTGGTGGGATCAGCCGATTCTCCAAACTGCACACAAAGTTAACAATTGGTTCGGCTGAACCAGGATGAAGCGGCTGAATCTCACTTCTGGTCTGTCATATAGGTTTATAGGTTTATAGGTTTATTGGGATTTATATGCCGCCCTTTTCCCTGAGGGGACTCAG